TTGAGTGTGCCTCTAGAGGGCACATCCAGGTTAAGACTCCTGCAGCCCTGCTGCTGTTGGAGTGGGAAGTGGGTAAAACAGCGTGGGGGGAGATCTATTTTGTGTGGCTCACTGCTCAGCCTTTGTGCTTGGGAGGGCTACTAAAGTCCGTCCTGCATCATTTTAAGGGACACTAGATTAATCTAAAAATCAATTTACAGCATCATGCAACGAGAGGCTGCCCTTGCCCTCCTTTAGTGTGAATTTTTCACTGAAAAAATGGTAAACCTGTAAACCCAGTTCTTAAAGGAGCCCCAGGATGTGTGAGCTTGTTGCTGGCCCAGTATTATCAGGCTAGATTTTGGGAGTGCACACATGAGCCACATGCATGTGCACACACAAATCACATGCACACACACTTTGTTCATGAGCAAGCCCATTTTATTTCAATACTGGCTGAGGCAAACCTGCCTACTTTGTGTTTTTATTTATTTTTCCTTTAACCTCCCCCACCCTTAGTTCCTTTCCTGCTGGGCCTACATTCCTAGGTCTTTGTCTCTGCCTGGTATTTTAGAAATTTTGGGAGAGGAAGGCAGAGGGTAGGACCTTCTGGAAGCTGGGGGGAAGGGAAGGGGGGTGGTCACTTGCAGGGTTAGAGGTCAAGCTGCCTCCATTTAGCTGGAGCAGCCAGATTGTCGCCAGGCTCGAAGGGGCGTGTCCACGCATCTGCCCTGGGAGCCCCAAACAGGCTACACCAGGCCCTGGAATTCCTGCCGCCAGAGGACTTCTTCCCACCCCTTCCTCCTTCATGTGGCTTATGGCCACTGCTACATTTGTAGCTATGGTTCCTTCTGCAAAGCTCCAGTTTATTCCTTTAACATAACCTCCCAGCTCTTTCCAAAGAAAATTTCACCCATGTACACCCTTACTTACTGTGTTCCAGCAACTCACATTGTGATTCTTTGAGTCTTGGTTTAAGAATATGGAAACCAAGTGTGAATATTTTTGCTTTTTATTATACCAATAGTTAGAAGACTTAAAATATCTTATGATTTTGGACAATGTGTTCTTTACAAAAAGTGTGCTTTTATTCAAGGCAATCACACGGAAGCTGTTCTTGTATTCATCTTGGCTTTTTGTTATCTGCCATTCCGTTCTGGCTCTCCTTCCCTTCCCCATTGTGGGCAGAGCATGTTGTGGGTGTCCAGATGTGCTCTGATCTGTGGCAAGTGGCTCTGGGCAGGATTGCTTGTACTGTGGTCTTGGACTCATTTTGGAGGTGTCTAGAGTCAAGGCTGGCATGGGGGGGGGTTGGGCGCTCTGTGCATTCTACAGACACTGCCTGTTCTGATTTCTTTTCTGGCCACTGCATCTGTGGAATCCTTTAAGACTGGCTATTCACAGGGTATCTGCCTATGCCCAGTATAATGGAAGCTCTATTTTAGGGTCAACAAAACTCAAATTCAGTAAGTTCAGAATTAACCTTGAAGCTTTGTGATTCCTATCGTCACATTCCCAAAGAAGGGGATTTTTGGCACTTGAAGGTTTCCCTGGGCTTCATAGTCAAACCCCATTTGTTTCACAAATGAGACTGAAAGCCAGGCTAGTCATAGGAGTTGACTAGACAGATGGCCCCACGGTCAGGTAGTAGCAGGCTGGCCCTAACTGTGCCTGGAGGAAGGAAGCAGGGGACTAGGCAATCCACAGAGCTGCCCCTAGAAGACCTCAGAAGCATGTTGTATTCTAATTTGATGATGATGTTGTTTTGTTGATCTTGGCCTAGCCGTTGTCCCCCACCCCCCAAGTTTTTGCTCAAGGCTACCACTTTGAGCCACAATGCCACCTTCAGTTTTCTGGCATTAATTGGAGGTTAAGAGTCTCATGGACTTTTCCTGACTGGGCTGGCTTTGAACCTCGACCCTCAGATCTTAGCCTCCTGAGTAGCTAGGATTTACAGACATGAGCCACTAGTGCCTGTCCCATTTCCAGCTTTTGGCTGGCTAAATGGACATGAGACTCTCAGAGTTTCTTGCCCAGAGCTGGCACTGAATTGCAGTCCTCACATCTCAGCCTCCGAAGTAGCTGGGATTATAAGCATGAGCCACCAACACCTGGTTTATATTTTAATTTAAGAGAAACTTTGTGGGTGGGGGAGGGGGGAAGGCTTTCACATTTTACCTGAGCGCAGGAATGACCTCTGTTCCCATGACAAGATGAGGGAAGAAAAAAGAAGGAATGTGGCTGGGGTTGACAAAACTAGTTGAATTGCTTTTAGTGTACCACATTTTTTTTTTTAAAGGCTGTCTTGAGTTTTTCCTGCATTTATCCAGCTTAGCATCTTTGCTTGATCACATTTGGAAGTAAGGTTACAAGCCTTATCACGTTTCCTTGAACAGAGCTTGCAAAACCTGCTCTTATCAGATCCATTTCTTTACAAAATTTAAAACATGTCCTAAATTTTGCTTCTCTCCCCCTGTTTCTGAATCCAGAAGTTTGTAGAGAAATAGCGTAATTCAGATCGGATCTTCTGTTTCCCTGTTAGCTCACCTGTTCCCAACAGAGCTTGAAAACCCGGGGGTGGGGAGTGTGGCAGCATTTTTTTCTCTACACCTAACCTGGGCCCCTTTGGATGTGGTCTTTGGATGTGGTCTCCGCTTGTTTCCCAGTCACCATTACCTTGAAGTTTCCATACTGGACCTCTAGATCCCTGCCTAGGTGTCTGTAGGTGTTTTGTGCTATGATTCAAGTATAGCCAGTATCATACATATGTTGGAAACAGCTCTTGGGTGGGAACAACGTACTAGGGTTTGAACTTGAGCCACATCCACAATCTTGGAACCAACTTTTTTGGTATGTCGGTCCTAGGACTTGAATTCAGACCGTGGGTACTGTCCTTAACCTTTTTTGTCAAGGTTAGTGTTCTACCACTGAATCCATAGCTCTACCTCCTGGCCTTTTTTGGTGTTTAATTGACGATAAGTCTCACAGACTTTCTGGCCTGGCTGGTGGCTAGCTTTGAACCTCACTCTCAGGTCTCATCCTACTGAGTAGCTAGGATTACAGGCATAAGCAACCGGGGTCTAGTCTCCTAGTATTTTATTTATTCATTTATTTAGCCATTCCTGGGCCTTGAACTCAGGGCTTGGCACTGTTCCTGAGTTTCTTTTGCTCTATCACTTGAGCCACAGCGCCACCTTCAGCCTTTTCTGTTGATGTGGTACTGAGGAATGGAACCCAGGCTTCATGCAAGCACTAAGCCACCTTCCCAACCCCTGTTTATTTTTATTTAGTTGTTTCCCTGCTAGTACTGGGCGTTGAACAAAGTAACAGCCTCTCTTTCAGGGCACCCCTTGTGCCTTTTTCAGATCTTGAGCCACACCCCCATTTTTGGCTTTTGCAGTTTAATTATGCATAAGAGTCTCAGAATTTGCCTGGGCTGGCTTTGAACCTGGATTCTCAGATTTCAGCCTTCTTTCTGAGTAGCTAGGATTTAGCTAGGATTATAGATGTGAGTCAGTGCTTGTCTGAACAAGCTTTTTAGAAAGCTTCTGTTGGAGCTGGGTGCTAGTGGCCCACACTAGTAATCCTAGCTACCCAAGAGGCTGAGATCTGAAGATCCTGGTGTGAGGCTAGCCAGGGCAGGAAAATCCTGTCCATGAGACTCTTATCTCTAATAATAAACTGCTCAGAAAAAGACAGAAGTGGCTCAAGTGGTAGAGTGCTAGCCTTGTTGAAAAGAGTCTCAGGGACAGTGGCTAGGCCCTGAGTTCAAGCCCCAGGGCAAAAAAGAAAAGAAAAAAAGCTTATCTTGGTTTTCTGACTTTGTCCTGGTTGTGTAGCCTGGAGCATATCACAGGTTTTCTTTCTTTGTGTGGATATTGGAGTACTTGGGGAAAAACAGTCCTGTTGAGCTTTACTTCCCACCTGTCTCCTGTCAGCTTTCCTTTACCCCAAGTATACACAAGGCCAGTGGAAGCTCTGCTGTTTTTTCATTTTTTATTTTATTTAATTTTTTTGTACCAGTATTGGGGCTTGAACTCAGGGCCTAGGTTCTGTGCCTTTTTACCCAAGGTTGACACCACCTGAGCCACTTTCCCCACTTTCTTTTTGGGTGGTTAATTGGAGATGAGTCTCACCAGACTGACTGGTTTGAACCTCGATGCCCAGATCTCAGCCTACTGAGTATCTAGGATTACTGGCCTGAGCCCTAGATGCCCATCAAAGCTCTGCTGTTGAACACAATCCAGCAAACATTTACAGAGTATGGTGCCAAATGCCTTGCTCTGTCAAGAGATGTATTACAAGACTGGCCTAGTTTCTGTGCCAAGTAGAACTCTCTTGAGAGCTAGCGCCTTGTTTTGTCAGCAGGTGCAGGTTCTACCAGTCCAGCCTCCCAGCCACTTCCCCCCAGGAAAGTGTGTAACACTGCAGAAAGCAGCTTTATCAGCCCTGACTGCCTTCTAGGTTCATCTTCTTGGGTAACTTGGCAGGAAGAAGGAAGGCAAGAATCTGGCTGACCTCACTCTAGCTTTTTGGTTGAGTGCCTGGGATCTTCTGTTTGTGTACTGAGCTCCCTAATTGGTTGCTTGTATTGGCACTTGACCTTGCTTCACACCCAGAAACTGTAGTGGCAACTCAAGTTTTGGATATGTTCTTCCAATTAGACTACTGGTCTGACAGTATCTTTCAAGGTTTCTGGGTAATTGAGCTGAGACAGAGAGAAACTTTCCTGTGCTTGAATGGGTGTGTATGTGCTTCATTTCATCCCTGCCTTTGTGGGGGGATGTAGCAAAGGGTGGGTCCCAATTTCTTGGTTGGGGTAGTGGTGTTAGAAAAGGACAGTGGATATTTGTAGTTACACCTAAAGCTGCAACACTTACACCCCTGACTGTCTTTTATAGGGGTAGGAAGTAGGGGAACATTTGGGATCTGGGATCCAGAGCACCACTATGTTAACTTCCTTCCTTCTTGCTCCTCCCACCTCATCATTTATTCATGCTTGTCTCCTCTTTGGTTCCCAGGTGCTGCATCTGTACTGTGACACTTGTTCTGTGCCCATCTGCCGTGAGTGTACAATGGGCCGCCATGGGGGCCACAGTTTTGTTTATCTGCAGGATGCACTACAGGACTCAAGGGCTCTCACCATCCAGCTGCTGGCTGACGCACAGCAAGGCCGCCAAGCCATCCAGGTTAGTCAGTTCTTCTATCACTGACCCCTTCAAGACCCTGTCCTCTCCAAAGGACATGTGGGGAGACAGATAGGCAGACAGACAGTGGTGTTGGGAGGCAGGAAGTGTGGAGTCGTGAGCAGTCTTGGGAGGATGGCAGGCTTGTGGCTAGATCCCACATACACTGCCTGAGTCCTCTGCTCAGTAGGTTTCCACTTGACCCCTCCTACAGCCAAGTTGGCATAGGCATTGCAGGAAGAGTAGGTTGGGGATTTTATTGAAGGGTCAGTCTTGATTTCTTCTGAGTAATAAAGTCCTTGCAATGAATAACGTTGTCTGTTGAATTCCCTCACTTTAGGCTCAGAGAAGGGCATGCATGACACTGAGAATTTGGCAAATTCCCTTGTGTAGTTAAATAATGGCGTGCTGGGATGATTTTTTTTTTTTGGGAGGGGGGGGTGGTGGTGGTGGTGGTAGGGCTTGAACTCTGGGCCCTGGGTACTGTCTCTGACTGAGCTCTTAGTTCAAGATGAGTGTTCTACCACTTGGGCCACAGCACCACGTCTGGTTTTCTGGTGGTTAATTGGAGATGAGTCTCATGGACTTCCCTGCCTGGTCTAGCTTTGAACCTCAATCCTCAGATATCAGCCTTCTGAGTAGCTAGGATTACAGGCGTGAGCCACTGGTACCCACCTTAATTTCTTAAAATGATTTATTTATTTATTTGTTTATCTGTTTATTTAGTACTGAGGCTTCAGCTTCATGTCTAAGAACTGTCCTTTAGTTTTTCCCTTCAACATTGGTGTTCTATCACTCGAGCCATACCTCTACTTCTGGGTTTTTTGTTTTGGTTATGGGGCTTGAACTCTGGGCCTGGGTCCTGTCCCTGAGCTCTTCAGCTCAAGATGAACACTCTGCTACTTGAGCCATAATATCACTTCTGGTTTTCTAGTGGTTTATTGGAATAAGAGTCTCATGTACTTTCCTGCCTGGGCTGGCTTTGAACCGCAATCCTCAGATCCTCAGCCTCCTGAGTAGCTAGGATTACAAGCATGAGCCACTGGTGTCTGGATCACTTCTGTTATTTGGGTGGTTAATAGGAAATGCTGTCTGGGCTGACTTCAAATGTGGGTTCTCAGAGCCTCAACCTTCTGATTAGGAAAGATTACAGGTGTGAGCCACCAGTGTACAGGTGCCTTTTTTTTTTGCCAGTCCTGGGGCTTGAACTCTAGGCCTAGGCACTGTCCCCTCAGCTTCTTTTTCTCAAAGCTAGTTAGTGTTCTACCACTTGAGCGACAGCACCACTTCAGGGTTTTTTTCTGTTTATGTGGTACTGAGGCATCAAACCCCAGGGCTTCGTGCATGCTAGTCAAGCACTCTACCACCAAGCTATAGTCCAGCCCTGCCTAGCTGCTTTTAAATCTTACCTGAGCTTTTAGAGAATTAGAAAATTTCTCTGTTTTCCCCATATTACGGGATAAGGTTGAAAGTCAAGAAAGTTGTTCAGCGTCTAGCAAAAATTGCACAAGAAACATAATTACGTTTTGTAGTATTAAGTAAAATAAGTTAATTTTGGGTTTTTACTTTTAAAGAAATCTTTTTTTGGGGGAAAGTCCTACAGAATTGAGAATATGGGCTCCAGAGAAATTCGGGAGATTTTATTTATTACGCTTCTTGGCTATGCATGATACTGAAATGAGCCTGTTTCTGATGAGCCCAATTTTCTAATATTCAAGTCATTGGAAAAAAAAATTTTTTTTTACCCGTCTTCTGGCATAACAAATACTATCAGTACTATGTGTAGCAAAGTTTCCATCATGTTTGCCAACTCAACCTTGATACAGTCTAGCCTGGCCTCAGATTCCCAATCCTCCTGCCTCAGCCTCCCAGGTACTGGGATTAATATGTTTTTTTTAAAATGGCCTGTATGGTGTTTCTAGGTTGCTGTTCAGTTTCTCCCTTGTCAACATCTCCACCGCATACCATTCTTCCAAAACATTGGTGTCCTCAAGCAGTACTCTTTGACACTGCCCATCACCTGCGAGATTGGAGAGCTAGAGGTAACCATCCCATCCTATGGATGGTGACACATGGTGACACAATCTTGCCAGCCCCCTTCTGTCCTAGAAGGTTGAAAATACTTGCCTTGTGAGTCAGCCACTCTTGGGAGATAGATTTTGGGGGGGGGGGGGGGTGGAGGGGAAGGTTGGTAGGCTAGCGCTCTACCACTTGAGCCACAGCACCACTTTTGGCTTTTTGGTGGTTAATTGGAGTTAAGAGTCTCAGGGGCTGGGAAGGTGGCTCAGTGGTAGAGCGCTTGCCTTGCATGCCTGAGGCCCTGGATTCGATTCCTCAGCACCACATAAGCAAAAAGAAAAAAGCCTGAAGTGGCGCTGTGGCTCAAGTGGTAGAGTGCTAGCCTTGAGCTGAAGAGCTGAGGGACAGCACCCAGGCCCAGAGTTCAAGCCCCACGACCAGACCAAAAAAAAAAAAAAAGGAGTCTCAGGTCGTTTCTGCCTGGGCTGCCTTTGAACCGCAATCCTCAGATCTCAGCCTCCTGAGCTAGGATTACAGGCGTGAGCCACTGGCACCCGGCTTGATTTTTTTTTTTTTTTTTTTTTTTGGCCAATGCTGAAGCTTGAACTCAGGGCCTAGCACTGTCCCTGAGCCTCTCTGTGCTCAAGGCTAGCATTCTACCACTGGAGCCACAGCACCACGTCCAGCCTTTTCTGTTTATGTGGTAGGGAGGAAATGAACCCAGGGCTTTATGCACGCTAGGCAAGTATCTACCACTAAGCCACGTTCCCAGCCCTAGATTGTTTTTTAAACTTTCTATAGAGAGAAGAATAGATAGGTGGAAGGTTTGTGTGCCGGCCGAACTTTCTAAATTAATTACAGTCTAAATATATCATATGAAGTTAAATATGGCCACTGAGAAGCTGCTGTGTGAGCATAAAACACCCTTAGCATGGACCATGGGGGCCAAATACTTGTCAGTGGTATGCTGGGTCATGTGTTGAATGGAGCAAGCATATGGTAGATGGGTTACTTATGGGTGAGAGAGACACAGTGTTAATCATGACTGTATTTCCATCCACAGGTCAGATTGCAAGTCTGCTTTTCAGAAGGTCCTTGTGTAAACCATGGTGTGTGTGTGTGTGTGTGTGTGTGTGTGTGTGTGTGTGTGTGTGTGTGTGTGTGTTGCTTTCTTGCTTCAGATCATAATTATTCGAAGCTTACATACAACTAGTGAAGTGAAGCTTGGACTATGACATACTTGCTTTTCTTAAAGTGCTCACTGAATTGGTCATTCTCTTAGAAAAAGTCAAGTATTAGATAGGGCAGAGGCCTTGTAGGAAAGCAGGGCGTGGGTGTCATAAGTGGTCCCTAGGTGTTGGTGTGAGCATCTCCCCTCTATTCTTTCTGAGTTACTATGAGGTACCAGTACAGGCTTTTGAGGTTGTAGTAGAAGACAAGGTGAAGTTTGACATTAAAGTAGCACTCAGGCTATTTGCACTCAAGCCATTTTATATTCTCACAGAAACAGATGTTTCCAATGTCACAGGCCAGGAGATGGGGGAGGTTCAGTTTCCCGTAAGTGTAAGCGTTCTGAGTTAGAATCCGAAGGTTCTGTGTCATTTGAAACAGATTAAGTTAAGAATCAAGCTGGGTGCCAGTGGCTCACGCCTATAATCCTAGCTACTTAGGAGGCTGAGATCTGAAGGATTGTGGTTCAGAGCCAGCCCAGGCAGGAAAGTCTGTGAGACTCTTCAATCAACCACTCAGAAAACCAGAAGTGGTGCAGTAGCTCAGGTGGTAGAGCTCTAGTCTTGAGCTGAAGAGTTGAGGGACAGCGTCCAAGCCCAGAGTTCAAGCCCCATGACCGCAACAAAAAAAAGGGGGGGGGGGAATGGAAGAATCTATCAACTTGTGGTCCCTCCATTGTTCCTGAGAATGCTTGCTCCCAAGGTCATGCCTTGGAGTTAGAAATGTGGTTTTTAGTGGTAGAGTGCATGCATGAAGCCGTGGGTTCTGTTCCTCAGTACCACATAAACAGAAAAGGCCAAAAGTGGTGTGGCTGAAGTGAGTAGAGTGCTAGCCCTGACCGTATCGAAGCTCAGAACAGTGCCCAGGTCCTGAGTTCAAGCCCCAGGACTGGCAAAAAAGGTTCATGCCTTTGTGCTTAGCACTCTGCCTCACTAGGCAATCTAACTCTACTTGCAGGGTAGATGTACAAGGCTCTCCTAAGCCACCTTGAGCTTCTTTCCTCCTGTTTTCCTTCCTTTCCCCTCTTTTGGGGTCTGGGTGACTCATACGTAAAGCCAGCGTTGGGGTAGTTGATTGGTTTGGTCTGTTTTCCTAGGTTTCTCTCTTAGGGCACAGTCCAGGGGCCAAAAGCTTTGTGCTCCACACCTCCTTTCTACCAGTACAAATAGAAGAGCAAGAACACACCCCTTAAGAAAAGGATACGCGGAAGTGGCGCTGTAGCTCAAGTGGTAGAGCGCTCGCCTTGAGTTGAAGAGCTGAGGGACAACGCCCAGGCCCAGAGTTCTAGCCCCACGACCGACAAAAAAAAAAAAAGGATACGCTGTGAACTAATTCTGCAGTTATATTTAAGCCAGTGGAAAGCTTACTCTTAAATTAAGTCTCATCAGTGATTTTTTTTTTTTAAACAATCCATTAGGACTTGTGCTTTAATGTCCATTTCCAACTTTTGTTTAAATGGTGATATTTTATGCTGTGCCTAGGGATCTTACCCAGGGCCTGGAGAGTGCTGGGCAGGTGCCCACCACTGAACCCCAGCAGAGGTAGGGAACCTTTTTTTCTGCCACAGGCAATTTGGATATTAATGTCTTTCCAGGGTCATATAAAATTATCCATACGGGCAAATAGGCCATAGGTAGCCAAGAAGCATGCATATGCATTACTGTATGCTTAAAAAAAATTTTTTTTTTGACAGTCCTGGCGCCTGAACTCTGGGCCTGGATGCTGTCCCTCAGCTCTTCAGTTCAAGGCTAGTG